TACTAGCGTAATTCTTAAGCTTTTGTTTTTGCTTAAGTACATTGGCTCGCATCATGTATTTAAGAGTGCTTATGGGTTTAACCCTTATGAGTGTTTTTTAAGCTCATATTGGGTTCACATCTCCAGTTTAGGGATGTTGTTGACCACTAATAATAATCAACAAATTTTTCTTAGAGTGTGTTTGATTGGTATGGAAAATATCACCTATAAAAAAAATATTTTCCTTGTTTTGAGGAAAACAAAAACCTACTCTCTGAAAAGATAACATTTTCGCTAAAAATAAGAAAATTAAGTATATTATTAAAAGTTGAAAAATATTTTCAATGAAAAAAATTAACAATCAAACACTCAAAGTAGGAAATTGAATGGAAAACTGATATTTTCTATGGAAACTAAATGCAATCAAACATACCCTTACTATGTATGATTTTTTCCTCCTAAGCTCACTATTTTGCAGCTCAATAGGGAGTAAGAGGATGAATGACCATTTTGAAGGAGACTATTTCAAATTTAGCATAATCTTTTTCATCTTAGGCATGTATATCTACAGATTTCTATTCAGGCATTGGAGAAGAATCAATCTTTTTGGTTGGTGATATGTTGCAGCCTTTAATTGAATGATATCGAACTTATTCAGTTATATTGTTCATGTTTATTCACTAGCTTAGTCCATACATTTTTATTTTTGCTCAAGTATATTGGTTTGCATCATGTATTAAAGGTCGCTTATGAGGTTTTCTCCCTTTATAAGTGTCTTTTTAGCTTATTTTGGGTTAGCGTGTATTTTCGGCCTCTTCAAAGTGTTCGCTCATAAGAATATCTCATATGTAACAACAACAAAATTCTTTCTTCCTCCATCTTATGGAGAAAGCGAGGCAAGGACAAGGACAAGAAATTGATACCTACCGTGACCATTAATTTTTATATATATAAATTTGAATTTTATTTAAATAAATATAAATAAAAATGTGATTGTAAACATGAAAATTTAATTTCCATCCTACTTCCTTCTAAAAATTCCCGACGAGGAAAGAGATGGGAGGATTGTCCCTACCCTACGCCATCTATGCTTTAATTGAGCAACCTCAAGTACACATTTTAACCCTTATGTGACAAACTTTGTAAATTATTTATAAATAGTCAAATTTAATTTTTTAACTACACATTTTAATGAACTTCCAATTATTATTCATTTATTCACCAATTGACACTTATCTTTATCTATTTATAAATTAAATCGATTCATAAATTCTTCCCAAATGCAGTCTTAAAATTTTCTTATTTCGACTGAAATCAAAATTGTCAATAGTTGACATGGTTTCTATCTCTGTTACAACTCAGGATTCAAAGTAGATCTATTGTAAATTGCAACGTCCAAAACTAAACCAATAAATTCATGCTTGTCATTTCCCATCAATTGTCAAAGTTATGCACTTATTTTGCTTGTCTCATATAATAAATGCAAAATGGACCATGCTACACTACCAGGCCTGTAAGAAGCCTGGTAGTGCAAAATATGGCCCTTTAATAGGTTTGGCGAGGTACGTAGGTAGGTAGGTAGGTAGGTAGGTAAGGTGGGAGCATTTCCCTTTTTCCCCTCGATATTTACAGAGCCTGTTTGGGAGTGATTTTAAGAATTGATTTTTTGACCGTTAGGAGAAAAGTGGGGTCCACCTGTAAGAGAAGAAGTCAAATATGACTGCTGGAATAGTGAAATAACGATAAAAAAATCAATTTTTTGAGTCAAAAAATCGCTCCCAAACAAGCCCACAATTAAAGATATCATATTCGTTCCATAAAAATAGAAATACTTACTATTTTTTCTTATATATCTCAAATTTTATATCATTTTTTTTTTTTTGCTCAGAACATAATTAATTTTTTATTTTATTTTCTAACCTGTTCATATTTAATATACATTATTATCAACAAAGAAGAACCAATGTTATGAAGATAAGACCGGATATGATTGGTTCAATCGGAAAAATTAGAAACCAATCCAAATTCGGTTGGACTAAAACTAAAAACCCGCTTAATATAAAATTGATAAAAAGCTCGATCGATTTATTCACTAACCTAATGACTCAAAATGGGTTTAGCCAGTTGGTCGACTATTTAAAAATTATGTACTATTATATTAATTATAAATCTCTTTGGGAGATTGTCTACTTAACGGTTGACCCATCCATGTATACGATACATTCGCTGCTACTTTGTAAGGGGAATCCGATGTGGACTGGGAACAATAAAAATTATTCCCCATAATTTTTGTAGTGGGTATCTAATTTTGTAGTGATTTTGAATAAATTAATTATTTTTCTATGTTATTTTTATTTAATAAAAAAATTAAAAACTCTCCAAATATTTCAATTAACAATATTATAATATTATTTACCATTTGAATATTTATTTATTTATTCTTATTTAACTACTCTGTTCGACTTCGATTTTATCCTTTAATCCTTGATCCTCTCATCCTTTCGAGCCAATGCCCTGTCCGAATTTTAAAACATTGGTGAGAACTACACATGTTTAAAATTCAAATCATTAATTAATGTAGGATTATCAAGGAAAATATATTATAAATTTATATTTTCAATTATTAATTACATTTTTTAATTTGTTTAAAAATAAAAGAAAGTTTATCTTTATAAAACGGAGGAAAAAATATATATTTTTTAAACAAATTTAATACCGATAATTACAATGAATGTAAAATTATAAAATTATATTCTAATGGAAAAACTACAAATTTTAAAAATTTACATAAATAATCAGTTCTATTATTTGTCGACATAATAAAAAATCCTATTTAACTTTTTTTTTATTTAGAATATCAATTCGAGTAGCAATAGAAATTGTTTAAATTATAATAATGTGAGACTATATTTTTATTTTCCATCTCTCCACCTATTATTCTAATGACAAGTAGGTTATTAATCTTAAAAAATGAACAAGTTAGTATTCATTATTATTTTTTTAAATGTAGTGGTTTCGTTCATGATTTATCACTCTTTATTTACATATTTCGAGGGATACCCAAATATTATTTACTTATAATTATTTGCTCTTATGTATTTATAATTTGAGGACTTTGTAATGACTACCAAACATGGTGTTATGTTATGAACCATAGTTTAATTAATACTTGAAATTTATTTTTAAACTGTTATCTACGTCTGCACGCAAGTATAACTCGTTCGGTGAAGAAGAATATTAAAAAGCATAAATTCCATATCATCCCCTTCCCTATCTCTACATATACATATCTCAGAAACTTTGACTTTTTGATAAAACGATGCCAGTAATGAGTAATTTAATCAATTATAATTGCTGACGCAATTCCAAAATTCCAACGAAAAGAGAAGTACCCAACTTTTTAACTCTTTAATCTATATTTATATACAGACACACGAATATGAATGTAATTGTTTTCATTTTCTGGCCTTCAATACCCACACAGACACCGAGCAATAAATGCAGTGTTACGGACTACGACAATAGCAGTGTTCTTTTGTGTGGTTATAAGTAAAAATTCCAGCTCAACTGGGCATCTGACTCTTCTATAGAATTGTTTTAAGTTTTCGTTTTTCCAGAACTAATTTGCATCAAAACACACACATACACAGCAATAAATGCAAAGCTGTTTTGTTTGTCTAACTACTTTTCCAATTGGGTTGATCTTTTTGGTTATTATAAAATAATTTCAATTTAATATCTTGAAACCGATAAATTTGTTTGAAATAAGATGATGGGCAGCTGAAATTTGAGTTTAGTTCATTGAATACTTTTAATTTTTTTGCAATGGGCTGTGTCCTTGGAAAAAGAGCCACCAGAAGAAGAGAAACTCGACGGAGTTGTCGCCGGAGGGAAGAAAATGGGTCGTTTTCTGAACCCCACCTCACGAGGGTGCAGAACGACGTTGAAAGAGGAAAGAAGAAGATCAGAGAGATTCCGGAGGCAGATGTGGGACGGCTTAGGCCCTCGGCTTCAGCGCCGGAGTTTCTGCTAAGAACTGGCGGCGCCACCACTCGGGAAGGGTGGCCTTCGTGGTTGGTCGACGTCGCCGGCGATGCCATCAAGAACTGGACACCCCGCCGTGCCAACACCTTCGAGAAACTCGATAAGGTGCGTAGATACATATATTTGCAGTTCATCGTAGCGTTAGAGATAAGGTACCACTTCTTAATCGCAAGGTACAACTTCTAGTTGCGCGCATTACATTTGTAACGTGTTTGGGATTACTACATTATGGTCACTAAGTACATAATGTGAAACGTGAACAAATAATGATTTCCATTAGAAAAAGGATCTTTAGCAGGAGCCAGGATCAATATTCACCAGCGCTTAAAAGTTACTTTTTCAGAAAGTGAAAAAAGATTTGCTTTTTAGGAAAGGAAATTTGTTAGTCAAGAAAGTAAGGTTAAAAGTCACATTTGACAAACTAAGTAACTTCAAATTAAGTTTGATTTACTCTTGAGCCCAACCAAACATGCTCCCAACCCTTAGGTGCTTGCTTGCTTCAGGAAATGGAATAATCAGATTGCTATTATGTTTTTGGCTTTTGCTGTTTGTATACAAAATTGCTTTTGTTTTGGATGATATAAATGTTTTAAGTTTTTTCCTATCTTTGGAAGTATGCAAAACATATTGAGACGCATAAATATTGTGAATTCTGGAGTCATAATAATATTATTATTTTTGAATAGATTGGACAAGGAACATACAGCAATGTGTATAAAGCTCGAGACTTGATAACGGGGAAGGTGGTTGCATTGAAGAAAGTAAGGTTTGATAACCTAGAGCCAGAAACCGTTGCATTTGTGGCAAGAGAGATACTCATTTTGAGTAGGCTGAATCATCCCAATGTAATTAAACTCGAAGGGCTGGTTATTTCGAGAATGTCTAGTAGTCTTTACCTCGTTTTTGAATATATGGAGCATGATCTTGCTGGCCTTGCTGCTGTCCAAGGTGTCAAGTTCACAGAACCCCAGGTAGAGAAGATAGGAAGAAAGAATAAGAAAATTTTATTATCTCATATGATTTCTTTGATGAATTTAATTGGTCTGCGGTCTTTTACATTGTCGGTTTGATTCAAATACTTTTATTATTGTTGTTCATGTTTCCTGGAAGTGTACTTATTTGGTTATGCACATCTAGTTGGCATTTTTTTTCCTAGTTGTTTTAACATGTGGAAATGGGGATATGACTCTCTAATGATGCATTCAGGCCTTTTAGGCATGTAATTGCTCTGTAGTGTTTGAGAGAGCAGAACTTCATGAGTAACGGGAATTATATTTTCCATTTCGATTTGATGATTGAGGGGAAGTTTTGACAAGCATTCGAATGACATTGAAATGGTTTTGCAAATTTGAGGAAGAGTTTCTAATTGAAATTTTAAACTTAGACTTTCTGCAATAGGGCAATTTAGGATTGCCTGCAGCTAAATGTCATGCACTGTCCAAAAATTTATGCACACTTGTATTTTAACAGAAACTTGGAAAACATTGTTTGTTTGTATAAATAAGATCAATATTTTGAGATATTAGTCTGTTGGGAGTCTTTACTTTCACTCTCATATCATAAACTTAACCCTCTACTAACAGACAAACTTACTGAGTGATGTACACAGTATAGAAGTCAAAGATCCACCTGTAAAGAACTAGACAGATAATGAATTTTCCTTCAGGAGTGTAGATTTCTCTTTGTTCAACATAACATTTTTATTATGTTGAAGATAACAAATTATATAAATTGGGCATTGTATATTAGCTTAAGCTTTTAGATTAAGTGATTCAACATGGTATTCAAGCGGGTAAAGGTCCTAAGTTCAAGTCTCTTCACCACCACTTCAATGAATTGTGCTTGTGCTAGGCTTTGATGGATAAAATGAATCTCGCATACTCTTGAGGAATTGTTGAATATAATATTTAAATGACGTATATTTGGTTAGCTTAAACTTTTAAATCAAGTGGTTCAACATATTTCGTAACAATGAGAAAGCATTTTAAATTTAACGTCTTAAATAGACTTTTGTGAAAATTTGACCAAAAACTGCTATTGTGTCAGTGGTATCATGATTGTATTTCCTGGTGCAGGTCAAATGTTTTATGAAACAATTATTCTCTGGGCTTGAGCATTGCCATAAAAATGGCGTTCTACATCGTGATATCAAATGCTCTAATTTGCTAATTGATGATGAAGGAATCTTAAAAATAGCCGATTTCGGTTTGGCTTCTTTTTTTGATCCTGATCGCAAGAAACCTTTGACTAGTCGGGTTGTCACCCTCTGGTACCGTCCTCCAGAACTCTTACTGGGGGCCACTTATTATGGGGTTGGTGTTGATCTGTGGAGTGCAGGCTGCATTTTGGCAGAGCTGTTTTCTGGGAAGCCAATACTGCGGGGTCGAACTGAGGTATTCTCTCTCTGATTTTCTTCCTTTGATACAATTGCTTAAGCAATCCCTTAAACTGGAATCATCCTATTTATCATCATGACATAAAAGATATCAACAACATTCATATTTAGTCCAACTGCGTGCATCGACTCCTTCGATATGTTACGCCATATCTGACAAAGGGAGATTTCTAATTTATGGAACATTAGCTTCTGGCCGCTGAAATCTTTCTATTTAGCCTATGTTTGGCCTCCATATTTTTAAAAAACTCATTTTTTTTTTTTTTTTTCAAAACTGATTTTTGACCATATAATCTCTCATGAAATAATTTTACATGTAAATCAAAAACTTTTCCTTCTTTTTTAACCACACATTCTTTCAAAAATCACTATTCCATATTACATTTTCTTACGGAAATGGGGTTCAAACAGGGGCTTAATCAATTGTTTCCTACGTATTTTGCCAAGTTCAAACTATTTATTTCTTTGCTATTTAGGTTGAGCAACTTCACAAGATCTTTAAATTATGTGGTTCTCCATCGGAGGAATATTGGAAGAAATCCAGATTGCCAAATGCAACTCTTTATAAACCTCAGCAACCTTATAAGTGTTGCATATCAGAGACCTTCAAGGATTTTCCACCATGTGCTCTTGCTCTGGTAGAAACTCTTCTTGCTATTGACCCTGATGTTCGAAGCTCTACCACTGCAGCATTAAATAGCGAAGTGGGTAATCCTTGAATCTGAATAATTTTTGTTTGAATTTTTTTAAAATCTATTAGAGAGGTTTATCATTTGCTCAATGCAACGTATTACCGCATAATAACTAAATGAAGTTTTATTCCTCCAGTTTCCGCATATTATATTATGCTTGCCTCTAAAATCCACCTACTTGTGGATTGGTTATAGCCAATCTGGTTCAGTTCTGAACTACTTGTTCTTGCCTTTTGCAGGTGGTATGTTTTAACAAATTTGCTTTACAAAATATTTTCGTTTATAATTAGGACTTTTTCTTCTCACTTAGTGTTTTTTTGGGCAATTTTTGTGTGTGTGTGTTTGGTGACAAAGATGGGGGCTTAGGTAGTAAAATTTTATTCAAATATGAACAAGTGCGCTGGTGGGAGAATTGCTTGTGATTGAATCTAATATATTGTTTATGAACAGTTCTTTAACACTGAACCATATGCCTGTGAGCCATCAAGCTTACCGAAGTATCCTCCAAGCAAGGAAATGGATATAAAATTGAGAGTTGAAGAAGCAAGAAGGTGATTACTTTCTTGATGTTAAGAAATTCTTTACCAATCTTAATTATATGCTGACATTTATCTTAACTATAGGCAACGAGGTTTAGGTGGGAAAGCCCACGTCGTAGATGGTACCAGAAGAATGAGAATTCATGAAAGGGTAGGCCGTGCAATTCCAGCGCCAGAAGCCAATGCTGAGATCCAAGCAAACTTAGATGTAAGTCAAAACAGATTTTATTTTTGTTTCTGCGCTATAACCAAGTCAAATGCTATCACATTTATCATCACTTGTAACAAAATTAAAAAACTGCGGTGTTTCTGTTGAAGCGTTGGGGTATAAACAGTGTCACTAGGAGAGCTGCATTTACTGGGCTTGTGCTGGTTAAGGATTTTAAACTCCTGCGTGCAATTTGAGCTCAGTGGATTTCTGCTTTGCTATGTTGTACCCTCTCAATTGTATTTTAAGAAAAATCTTATTAATCTTGCATAAGACCATCAAAAAGAAAGAAAACTAACAGCGGGAATCAAGAGCTAGATGGAATGTAAGGAGGGGGGAGGGGGGGAATGCGAATGCTCGGTTTAGGAAATAGCAAATCTGTAGGCTTTGTGCTTACGATTGAACTTTTAGTCGGAGGACAGTGTTCTTCATGTTTATCTAAGCTTAAAATTTTTACCCATTAGTAAATAAAATTTAAAATTAATAATTGGAAATAAGTAACTTACTTTGACAATGAGGTAGGCGTTAATTTCAGAGTAACTTCTTTTACTTATAAGCAAGTAAAAGGTATCCTGGCCAAACATGCTTGGGAAACTTTTGTTCATTTTTAAGTTTAACCTTACATGCTCTAGGAAACACAGATGCAGAATACTGGGAAGGAATTGCTATTTTATATAAATAATTCCATATCTCAAGTAGCTGCATTGAGAAAGAAATTGACGAGTTCAAATTTTACTCTAATTGCAACTGCTAAGAACTCCGTGATAAGATGATACATAATGATTTAATAACATTAGGAGCTGCTTTAGTGAATTGAAAGGGAAGAGGCGAAGAGCATGCAGTCATAGACCTTAACAAAAGAATATTTTGGTGGTTCTGCTAAACACCCTTTTTTAATCTTCCATCTTTTTATTCTTCGTTTTATTCTTTGTATACAAATTTGCATGGTGTGAATGTAGGCGTTTATTTTGCTTAAAATCTAATGATTTCCTTCTCTGCACCCCCAACTCCAGAGGATGCGAGTCGAGTCACAAGCTAATGCTAAGACAAAAAGCGAGAGATTTCCACCACCCCATCAGGATGGATCGGTTGGATACCCTATGGATACATCATTACAAAATTGCCCTGTATCTTTCGGTGCATCTGATGCTTCTTTTAGTTCCTCGATTTTTGATCCAAAACCATCCCGATTTCTGAGAAATAATACAGTAACAAGTGCAGCTTCCTGGGGGAAAAACAAGAAAGAAGAGCCTCATTTGGCTCCTCCTCGGAGATTCACGAACACATTCTATCCTTCCTTAATTGGTTGGTCCAAGGATTGGAGGTTCAGTCGGAGACGATCAATTTCAGAGAATTTTGCTGAAAGAAGGTAGAGAGAATTTAAAGGAAACAAATCTTTTGAAAACTTGGTGTTTTTGCCATTGTTGGTATTAAATGTAATCTTTTTTGTTATTAATTTCATTCTAATCTTGTAATTATGTGGGTTCTGTTCATAATTAACACATTTCAAAGTCTCAAGTGAGTTGGTTCATAGCATCTTCCTCTGTATTAAATTCTATCTTCATTCGTGATCGATTATGAAATTTCTATATGTGGAATCCTATTTGTTGTATAGTTTAGACTTGAGATTTTCCTGCCTACCAGGTTTAATTGTAAAAATTTTGTATCTAATCATGTACTAATTGTACTTAAGATCAATCTTTTACATGCAATTGTGCTTCTTTATTCTCCGGAATCTCTGTTGTGTTCTTGCGTATTCATATTTAACATCAGTACCATGGTTTTCACCCCAAAATATGCGAATTCCCAACACTTGAGAGCCATGTGCGGTAATCTACAGGAAGTGATTGAAAAGGATAATGGACGTGTCTTTTGTCCGTGGTTCTTTTGACTTGGATCTAATTTGGTGTACCGAGCGTGTAAATAGTCGCAAAATGTTCTGTGGCAGTACCTGACCAATACGTAACGAATAAAGCTAAGTGTACAACATTGGTTGACAATCACGTGTTATCAAAATTCAAACCTTTGATGTAGAAAATAATTTTTAAAATGGATGAATATAATTGCCAAGTAGGACGTCGTCAATCCGTATTATCCACCATGATTCGTAATAAAAACACACAATAACCATTGAATTGGATATAAATTATGTAGTAGGATTCACAGTCGAGCTAATGCTTGCTTTTGTTTCCTCTCGTATTAACAATAGAATCCCTTTTTTATAATCGAAACAAGGCAGTCTTTATGCATTAGAATTTTCACCATAAGAAACTTGGAAAGAATTCTGTAGCTGATATAAGAACGTTTCTATATTCCTCTCGACTATCAGCTTCTACGTTCAAGCAGAGCACCTTTGGGCACGTAGACATCTAAATGGAATCTTATAATTTTGTATAAACATCTTGCTTAAACAAGATGGTACCAAGAAAAAAAAAACTTACATGGGAATTTAGTATTTTTTAACAGCAGAATTTATAATGCGATCAATGACCTGGAACAAATGAAGATGAAGAACTTGAAAGTACACATTACAGCATTAAAGGATTAATTGTGCTATATATATATATATATATATGATTTACATATGGTTTACTTATATATGATATGATGAGATATGATTGTATTAGAATTTCTTTAACCAAATGAAAATAAAATAAAATTGTCCACCATTCTTTCTATACTTCATCTGTATGTAAATCATTATGTAACTCTATTATTTACAAGTAACATTATTCAAAAACGACTCTAGGACCAGTGGACGTTCCTTCATCAAATGAGGAACTTAAAGCATTACTGATATGAACTCACGTAACATTAATAATTCTGAGACCCATAAAAGAGTGAATCACAATCCCAAAAAAAAAAAAAGTAAAATTCCAATTTGAAGCTTGACCTAATAATTTATTGAACCAAAGAACTAATACAATCACCGACAATATGTTGATCCTCTGATCACAAAAATTATGAACTTTGCTATGAATTTATTGAACGTCATAAAGAGTATGAATCTTTGATGAGTTTGGATAGTCTAAAGGCTAAAAATATTGAAAATAAGTTCTGTTCAATTAAGAACAATATAGAAAGTGAAAAATTGCACATTATGATTAATTCTCAAAAAATTAATGTCTTTATTGTACAATGAATGATCCTTTTATAAGCATAAAATAAACTCCTATTCAAAACAAAATTCTAATTCTAAAGACAAATACAAATAAATTAGAAAACTACAAAACAAATATGTATAAAATTAAAATACTAGAAATAACGAAAATACCCTTAAACTAATTCGAAACATAAAAACGCAAAAATGGACCCCTAAGCAGTCGATTTTGACCACCAAAGTTTGACCTGCTCATCGGACAAACTTGTGCAAAATCGAAAGACATTTTCAAATTGTACTCATGGGCAAAAACTCGACAATCGAGCAGAAAGTTATATGAATTTTTATACATCCTTTACGTTTTTGCATATACTTCATATTCATTCCATTTTTTAATTGGTTTAGGATTTTTTTTTTTTTTTATGTGTATCAATTTGGAATATGTGATGGGTCCTTATTAACTTGCCTCCATGATTCTCATCAATCACGCAAGGTCATCTATGCAAAATGGTGCAACCATTGACAATAATAGGAATAAAACTCTAATCCTAGCTTAAAATGGAATTAAAGATTACAAGAATTTTACCATAAGCAAAACTCTAACAAAATATGGAAAATTTCGGAAAAGGAAACAATTTCCCTAGAAAAATAATTATGCGGTCCCATAGATGTCAGTTTAATTCTTCTGCTTGTATTGAATTGATCCATTTGGATTCGGCTCCTGACCCGAACATGAAAGTTGCCTCATTTTGGGTTTCAAACATCCTCCTATCAATAGTTGATTGAACTAGCAACCCTATCGCTTGTTTCACTTGCTTTGCCCACGATCGAGTCATTGGCCTGCCTTCGATTTTCAACGAGTCTCGCTCTACACTTGTCTTTTTCAAACTTGACTCTTCGATCACATCATCCCCTCCCTCTTCAAAAGGATTCGTCCTCAAATCTGCACCTGCATCAAAGATAGAGAGATTAGGCACATTAAAAGTTGCTGAAACATTATACGCATCTGGAAGGTCCAATTTATCTGCAATGTCGTTGATCTTCTCGATGACTTGAAATGGACCATCTCCCCGCGGTTGCAATTTTGATTTCCTTTACTCTGGAAAGCGTTCCTTTCTAAAATGCAACCAAACCCAATCTCCAGTTTCGAATGTTACCCTTTTTCTGCCTTTGTTTGCCTGCGATACAACAAGCTTGCTTTTATTTTCGATCTGCAACTTAACATTTTCATGGAGTGATTTTACCAACTCTGCTTTTCTTTTACCATCTAAATTGCTATGCTCATTTACAGGTAAGGAAATTAAATCCAAAGGGGTTAGTGAATTAAAATCATACACAATTTCGAAATGTGAAAATGAAGTAGTAGAATGAACAACACGATTATAAGCAAATTCAATGAAAGGTAAACACTCCCAATTCTTCAAGTTCTTATTGATCACTGTGCGCAAGAGTTGAATCCTAGTCCTATTGACTACCTCAATTTGCCCATCGGTTTGGGGCTGACAAGTTGTGAAAAATAACAATTTCGTTCCTAACTTACCCCACAAAACTCACCAAAAATGACTCAAGAGCTTCACGTCCCTATCTGACACTATACTCTTTGGAACCCCATGCAAACGCACAACCTCTTTAAAGAACAAATCAGCTATATGTTTGGCATCATCAATTTTGTGACATGGTATGAAGTTTTTCATTTTACTAAACCTATCTACCACCACAAAAATTGAATCTCGTCCTTTCTTAGTCCTAGGTAAACCCAAAACAAAATCCATTGAAAGGTCAACCCATGGTTCACTAGGTGTAGCTAATGGTGTGTATAATCCTTGAGGTAAAACTTTAGACTTACCCCTTTTACAAATTATGCATCGACTATAAATTCACTCAATATCAACTTTCATCTTAGGCCAATAGAAATGCTCCCCTAACATTTCCAAAGTCTTCTATACCCCAAAATGTCCTATCAATCCACCAGTATGTGCTTCTCTCACCAACAACTCTCGCATTAAACAATTAGAAATACATAACCTATTTTTCTGAAATAAATAACCCTCATGCCTAAAGAACTTATCAATATCCCCTTTTTCACAAGATTTGTAAATATCGAAAAAATCTAAGTCAATTTTGTACATGCTTATAATATGTTCAAAACCAAGCAATTTAGCACTTAAAGAAGTTATCAAGGTATGCCTTCGAGATAACGCATCCGCCACTACGTTTTCTTTACCTTGCTTATACTTGATGACGTAGGGAAATGTCTTAAGGAATTCAATCCATCTAGCATGCCTCTTGTTCAACTTTCTTTGACCCCACAGGTGCTTCAATGATTTATGATCAGTGTGAATAACGAACTCCTTCGGCCACAAGTAGTGCTCTCATGTCTCCAACGCCCGAACAAAAGAATATAACTCTTTGGGTTGTTTAGTGTAGCCCTACTCAGTTTTTCACTGAAATAGGCTATCGGCCTTCTTTCTTGCATTAAGACTGCTCCAATACTTATTCCTGAGGCATCACACGCAATCTTGAAAGTTTTGTTAAAATCAGGTAATGCTAAAACAAGCGTTTTACACAATTTATCCTTAATAGTATTAAATGCATGCTCCTGTTCATCGCCCCAATGAAAACCCACACTTTTCTTAACGACTTCAGTAGGGTGTAGTAATTGTGCTAAAATCTTGTACAATCACCTATAAAAATTAGCCAAACCGTGAAAACTTCTAACCTCTGTTATGGTTTTAGGTGTAGGTCAATCTTTAATAACTTTAATTTTTCTTCATTTACTTCTACCCCGTTAGCACTAACAACAAAACCTAAAAAGACAATCTTTTTCCATACAAAACGTACATTTCTTGAAATTAGCATACAATTGTTTTTTCCTTAACACAACAAGCACACATCTCAAGTGTTCCACATGCTCATTAAGATTTTTGCTATAGATTAAAATGTCATCAAAATAAATCATAACAAATTTTCCTATATAAGCACGCAAAACATGGCTCATTAAACGCATAAAAGTGCTCATTGCATTAGTGAGTCTAAACAACATAACTAACTATTCATATAATTCATATTTAGTTTTGAATGCAGTTTTCCACTCATCACCTTCCCTCATGCGAATTTGATAGTACCCACTCTTAAGATCAATTTTGTTAAAAATACATGCATCATGCAATTTATCCAACATGTCATCTAACCTAGGGATTGGGTGACGATACTTTACCGTTATGTTATTGATGGTTCTGCAATCCAAGCACATTCTCCATGACCCATCTTTCTTTGGCACAAGCAATACTGGTACTGCACATGGACTCATGCTCTCCCTTACATAACCCTTGCTCATCAACTCATCTACCTGCCTCTGAAGTTCTTTTGTCTCATCGGGATTGCTTCGGTAAGCTGGTCGATTTGAAATGACAGCTCCATGTATCAATCCGATGTTCAATACCTCGAATGGGTGGTAACCCACTAGGCATGTCCTCCGAAAATATGTCTTCGAATTTCTACAACAAAGACTTAGCCAAACTAGGGAGGGGTGGGTTAGTTTCTTCCAAATTGAGGAGTAATTCCTTATACAAGAACAAGATCATTTCTTTTCTCTCAATTATCGCTCTCCTCATTTCACTCCCTTTTGTAAAGAAATTCGCTCATGATTTTTCTTTTCTCTCAAAAGACTCTCTTTCTTTTCTCTCTTGCAGCTCATCTCTCTTTTTCTCTCTAGTAGCCACCTCACCATTTTATATGTTACTCCCTACTTCACTGTTTTCTCTCCTCTTCTCTAACTCTTTTACTCTTCTTTCTTCCTCGTTCTTCAACTTGATTTGGTTCTCATATACTTGTGCCGGTGTTAATGGCACAAAGGTAATGATCCTCTCGTCTTTGACGAAACTATAACGATTTTTGTACCCATCATGCATTGCTTTCCTATCATATTGCCAAGGTCTCCCCAACAAAATATGTCCCGCTTGCATTGATATTACATCACACACTACCTCATCCCGATAACTTCCAATAGAGATATTAATTTACACCCTGCGATTAACCCTAACTTCTCCACATTCGTTTAACCATTGCAATTTATATAGCCTAGGGTGCATCAACCGTGCTAAATTTAATTTCTCTACAAGTGCTACGCTAGCAACATTTGTGCAACTACCACCATCGATAATTACACTATATACCGTATCGTTGACATGGCATCGAGTATGGAAGATGTTCTCCCATTGTAGCTCTGAATCATCCACCTTGATGTGAGTAGTAAGAGCTTGCCTTGCAACTAAAAGATCCCCAACAACACCTTCAAACTTTTCTTCTTTACTAACCTCCTCCAACGTCGGCATGTCGTTATATTCACCTTCACTTTCACTCACCACCTCTACATTGTCTTGCAACACCATTACCCTTTTGTTTGGGCATTGAGAAGCAATGTGTCTAGATCCCAAGCATCTAAAACACTTGATGTTTCGACTCCTTGATGATCGTGACTCCAATTTTGGTATTGTTCTGCTAGCACCTTCATCTTTTCCCCTTTGCCAATCATTCCTACCTTTAGGTATAGCTCTATCACCCTTGTTATTATCCCACCTCGATTTCCAAGATGAATTCGAAGTATTTCACAGTTGCCTACCTGTTCCAATCCACTTCAATTTTCTCTGCACCTTCATAGCTACATGCAACATATCTTCTAACTCTACATAATGTTGCAACTCCACTACATTAGCAATTCCCCTATTTAACCTATTTAAGAACCGTGCCATGATAGCTTCCCGATCGTCAACCACATTTTCCCTAATCATAAGTATCTCCATCTCCTTGTGGTAATCCTCCACGCTTTTCGACCCTTGATACAAGCTTTGCAATTTCTGATGGATCTCCCTATAATAGTGACTAGGAACGAACCGTTTTCTCATCAATGTCTTCAACTCCTCCCAAGTACTAACCGGTTTTCTCCCACACCTACCTTATGAAGTAACCACTTGATCTCACCAAGTTATTGCATAGTCAATGAACTCTAGAATTGCCAACTTCACCTTCTTCTCTTCCGAGTAGTTATAACATTCGAAAATCAATTCAACCTTTCTTTCCCACTCTAGGTACGCCTTCGGGTGACTTTTCCCTTTAAATTGTCGAATGGTTATTTTGATATTACCCATGTTTTCATCCATCTCATCTCCATTATTATTCCTACCCCGTCTTTCAAACTTATCACCTCTATTTCTCATCCTCCCCAAATCAACGTCATTGGCCTCATACTCATTGAGATCACTATCAGATTCCTCATGCCTTACCCTCCTAGGATCTCGTCTACCCGGTCCCCTAGCATTCGACACCTCTACTGGTTGTCCCCTACTAAGATTAGCTACTGATGTATCTAACCTAGTCATCCAAGTTTCCTGTTTTATCCTCCAAGCCTCCTGTTGATCCAACCTATCCCTTACATCTCCAAACGCACTTTCAAATCATTGTATTAAATCATCCATTGCATTATTATGTTGCCGCGTCGGCTTGAATTCGAATCTTCTCGTTCAGACATTCTAAAACTAGAATTTTATCTGCCTCACCGATATTCACTTGGAAATCACACAATATGACATTTTCCTTCTATTAATCTCATCACTCTGTCTTTTACCACTCAGTGCTTCCCTCCAAGCTCTTAAAAGAACTAAGTGAACTCGAAAAATTTTAAACTCGTGGAATTCCTAATCGAATGTGAACAAAAGATGGTGAAACAAAAGGACTTGAAGAATTTTTGATGGAATAAACCCGGACTTTAATTGATGAAAAAAACTAGTGTGACTCAATAGAATAAAGATTGTTGGTAGTAAATTGAACAATAATATAAAAAATAGATTCTTTTTTTCGACTTTTTTTTTTTGGGAACAGTAAAAAAAAATTCGACTTTTTTTTCCTCCTCCTTAACTGAATGTGAATAGTACTTTTTTTTTTGGAACAAAAAAAAATAATGAATTAAACTACCAACAAATTAAACAAGATGATTTTGGATGCTAGAATAGCTCCAAAAAAACATTGACAAAATTTGACGGATTGAAGACTCGAACAACGAAGAAACGAAGAATACAAGAATAGAAACTAAAAAAAATGCGAAAAAACAAAGAACAAAGATTCAACAAAAAAAACTAAAGACATAACTTGTTAAATTGGAGCCTGTACTTTGATACCAACTAATGCGAACCCTTTAGCAACGTTGACTATGAAACTCACAACTAGATTGTTAGAACCCCAGAAAAGCAATTAAGAGATTTGAGAGTTTGAACCCGAATTAATGAACCAAGAAACCCAACAAGATCAAAGTTTGAAAGACCCTTTGATTACACGATTAAAACTCGCTCCCGGATTGTAGAATGCCAAAAGATTATATCTCTTGATAAGTTCCAATTATTCAACGAAGAACGATGTGAAGAAAGCAAATTGCCTCTCTTTATTGAATTATTTCAAAATAACATTGTGTAAAGTTTTACAATAAGAATAAACCTATTTATATGTAGAAAATCTATAAACGAATTCTAATAGGAATAAAATTCTAATGAAAATCTAGAAACTAATTATAATATGAATAAAACTCTAATCCTATATTAAAATGGAATTAAAGATTGGGGAAATTGCAGCCGAAGTACCAAACCTTTCGTTTATTAGTAGACTTTGCCCAAACCTTTGATTTGTGCCACCGTGAGTACCAAACCTTTCAAAAATATGCAGTTCAAGTCCAAAATAACAGTTTCCGTCTATTTGACCTCAAAATCTGTCAGTTGACCCCAAAATCCTTCAGTTGACCCCAAAAATTAAAAAACTAATAATTTGACCACATAAGATAAGGCTAAAATGGTCATTTTACCATTTTAATATAAAACAATAAAAAAATGAAAAAATGAAAATTGGTCATCTTCTCCAAGTCTCCAGCCTGGCTCTCCATTTTGTCTCTCTCTCTCTCTCTCTCTCTCTCTCTCTCTCTCTCCAACGCCCAGATTTACTTCGCGCCACCTCCTCTGCCTGTCTTCTCAGCCTACTCCTCACACACCCACATCCACTAATATCTGAGTATCATCTTCATCTTATAACATAAGTCCCCAAAAAAGAAGAAATTTCATAAATTTTGAAATTAAGGTTTTTTTTTTCCTTTTTTTTACACCATGGATTTAGATTCCTACCATAATGCATCAAATACAGAAATTCTTAATTCATAGCTCAGGGAGAAACAAAATCTGTAATTCATTTCCACCAAATCAAAACTCACAAAGAACCTCGGAATTGGAAATCAGAAATTGCTCCTTTTCCAATTTCTAAATCTCCTAAATATTTTACATTCATGTTCCATGGGGAACTTGAGATTTGATAATGGGAAGTTTTTACTCCAAATTTTTTACACGTGGGAGTGGGGGCAATGATTTATGGGTATGGCCGGACGGTGGTGGCACTATCGGCCGTGGGTGGAGGGTGGCATATGATGAGACTGGGGTCAATCGACGGATTTTGAGGTCAAATAGACGGAAACCATCATTTTGGACTTGAGTTGCATATTTTTGAAAGGTTTGGTACTCACGGTGGCACAAATCAAAGGTTTGGACAAAGTCTACTAATAAACAAAAGGTTTGGTACTTCGGCTGCAATTTTCCCTTAAAGATTATAAGAATTTTACCATAACCAAAACTCTAATAAAATATGGAAAATTTTGGAAAAGGAAACAATTTTCCCCGAAAAATAATTATGTGGTCGCATAAATGTCAGTTTAATTCTTCTGCTTGTATTGAATTGATCCATTTGGATTCGACTCCTGACCCGAACATGAAAGTTGCTTTATTTTATGTTCCAAACATCATCCTATCAATAGTTGATTGAACTACAACCTCATTGCTTGTTTCACTTGCTTTGCTCTCGATTGCGTCATCGATCCGCCTTCGATTTTCAACGAGTCTCGCTCCACACTTGTCGTTTTCGAACTTGACTCTTGAATCACATCAAATAGACAGAACAAGAAATGATAATATTTAGAAGAATAATTTGAGATGAGAATTATATGTTACTTTATTTATGATAACAGGCCAACTAAGTGCTATTATGTGTTACAGACCAATAAATAAGTGCTATTATTTGCTAGACCAATTTTTGTGCTATTTGTATTAATTTTCTGAAGTTACAAGCTTACCATACCGGTCCAGGCCCGTATATTCAATCCAGTTCATATTGGGCCGTGACATAATGGACCTAATTTGACTTTTGCTAGGGTTTTTCTACGTTAGATCGTCACGATTCATTCACCAGGGAAATTATCTGATAATCAATGGAGAACTCTCCTGAATTTCAGCAACTTATCACTGTAAGTATTTCGAAAAAATACGTTTCGTGTATTTGTTATGTATTGCTTCATCATACTGTTTGACTATAGAATACAAGTGTGTTAATGCAAATCCGGTTATCTTGTTTATGGTTATTGCGATTTTTATTCTACCGTTTGGAATAATTTTTTTTTTTATATGTTGCGTCTTTTTTTTTTTCATATAAATTCAGTTTCTGCTCATCCAATGTTCTGTAATTTCTAATGAGATGCTATATCCAATTCTTTCTAACGCGGTAACAGAATATATATATATATATATATATATATATATATATATATATATATATA